TATATTTATATATATATATATATATATAAATTATTTCAAGAAAAGCTTTCAAGAAAGCTTTATTAAACTTTAAAACTCTTTTGGAGAATTTTTCATTTTATTTCCAATAATATTTTATCATTAAAAAACATTCTATAATAAAAATATTCATTAAAATAGCTTTATTAAATGTTTTTATTTAGAAATTTAAAGTACCTAAAATGAATGATTTTTTAAACTGGAATTATTGATATTATAGTAATATACTATAACAAAATATCAGACACAACCAATTTCCAGAATAGAAATTAAAGTGTTAAGTAGCAAAACATGTAAAAAAAAATCATCAGGATATTGAATTTTAAGAATATAAATCATTTTGTTTCATCTAAGATCTAAAATCTTTCATAAATTGGATAAAAACAGATTAAATATTCAAAAACTTTTGTTTAAAATTTATATGCTTCTGTAATTAAAATTTGAAAAGCAGTTAGGATATTCAAATAGTCCTAACATATAAATTTATTTTTTCATATATTTTTTTTCTTATTTATTGTTGCTTTTTATTTAAATTTGTTATTTTATATACGTCTTTCACTGTTGCAATATTGATAGTTGAGCTAGCCACTAGCTAATTTAATGAAATAAGCAACACATCTTTTAACATTGGGCAAGGTTGGAGAAGGTGGCTCATTAACTGAGTATAAAATGGTACTATTTCTCGAACTTTACCCACTGTTAAAGATGTATTGCTTACCTTATATATATTTTTTTTTATTTAATTAAGATAATATACTTTTTTAAATTCAAATTAACATTTTTTAACTAAATGTTTGTTTATATTATAAATATTTGTAATTATTGATAAACGTATTATTTTTAATAATTGTATTATTCACACAAATTTCAATCTATTCATGCATATATATATATTTGTTTTTCTATATGAAAGGTGATTATACTGATTTTTATTCTTCTCTTGAACATGCAACTAATGTTGGTACAATGTTTAGAGGAAAAGAAAATGCTTTAATGCCTAATTGGTAAGTACTAAAATTATATGTATTTAAAAATACAGGTGATGCTCGAGTTTAGTTTTTTCACTCAGAAAATGAATGGACTTTAAATTTTGAAAATTTGCAAACTATATTTTTGATATAGAAACACAATAAGATATAGATTTTTTTCATCATCAATGCAAATTTATGCTATTGTAATTTTGATGATGTGGAGTGTGATAAAGTTTGCAAAATCTTTCTATATCTATAGAATTCTATAGAAAGATTTTGCAAACTTGTAGCAACTATCCTGTTAATCAAAATTGTATGCTCTTTTTTAAATTTTAAATATTAATATCTACTCATATTTGTGCTTACTTTTAAATGAATTATTTTTGATCTTTTTTATTTTGCTTTATTATTAATTTAATATAAAATAACACTAAACTTCAACAGGAATTTGTTTTTGACTGTTTCATTAATAATGCCCTTAGAAAGATCAAACATTCTGATTTAAGAGAGAATACTGATTCCTGCTGAAGTTTAAAGTTAGTGTTATTTTATGTTTAAACTTTCAGTTTTCAGGAAGTACTAATATTAATTCGATGATAAATTTAAACAAAAATAATTAAAAAGACAATAATACATATGTGTAAGTATATGTCATTAAGTATATAAATCTTATAGATGATACAGCTTGAACCTCACACCAAATATCACATAAGAAGAAAGTAAAAACACACTGAGTTTGGCATTAACAGTTTTTATTTTCACTAACACTTTCAATGAACTTATGTTCATCATCTTCAAGTGATCAAAATATAAAAATAGAACACAATGTTCTATTTTTATTAATAAAGAAAATTTACACCTTACACTTTCCTGCAGTAACTGTTTATTAAACAAACATTTTCAGCCATATTCAGAAGCCTGCATCAGGCTCCTGAATGTAGCTGAAAATGTTTGTTTATTAAACAGTCACTGCTGGAACTTTCCAGCAGTGACTGTGTGAGAAAGGTGAGAATTATATGATAGTTCCAGCTTACAGATTCAATAAGTTAGAAACACCACAATTAATTAATAGAAATAAGTATTTTCTTGTTCATCATTAAGCAGCCCAAATACACATATATGTAGATAAGATTAATGATGAATATTGGTATTAATCATAATATAAACAGTGATAAGTTGGGAATGTTCCAACATCTATAGGTCATTTGAGATCTTTAGTTGTTATAACTGATAACAATATGAAATATATTTTGTATAGAATTAGCAGGAATGTTACATAATACTTTTCACATACTGAGAAGTTACTTGTTTCTTGATAATTTGCTTATCTACCTTTTATCAAAGAAAATGTCACCAAATAATGTGTATCATCCATACGCAGTATAAAAATTTATTATTATTGAATTAAATTGTAGACAAAGAAAAATTATTGAAAACATGAAGTTATGTCATATTTCGAAACAGTGTTTTATCTTTACATTTGTTTTTCAAAACCGCAATGCAGCTTAATAATCAACACTTGGCATAACTCATTCATTTATTTTAGCTTTTGTTGAGACACTTTATACACACATTTCGGGCCTCATTTTGCCTCTCCTCAGTCAACTAAAAATATACCCTACTTTTATAGGAGATATGTGGATGATATTTTTATTCTATATAGAGAAACACAAGTTAAGTTAGAACAAATAAAAGAAGCAATTAATAGAATAACAAAAACGATACAATTTACAACAGAAAAAGAAGGAAAAATTAATCAAGAGATAAATTACTTGGATATTACAATTACAAGAAAGAAGAATGAATTTGAATTTAAGACTTTTAAAAAATCTTGTTCAACACAAACAACAGTGAAATATNTTTTTATTCTATATAGAGAAACACAAGTTAAGTTAGAACAAATAAAAGAAGCAATTAATAGAATAACAAAAACGATACAATTTACAACAGAAAAAGAAGGAAAAATTAATCAAGAGATAAATTACTTGGATATTACAATTACAAGAAAGAAGAATGAATTTGAATTTAAGACTTTTAAAAAATCTTGTTCAACACAAACAACAGTGAAATATAATTCAAATATACCATTATGCATAAAAGAAAATATATTTTCTATGGAATACTAGTAGCCCGGGACGCCCCCTAGTGGGCGTTTTAGCAGTATTACAAATTCCTATAAGGCATGTTTAATGCACTTAATATATGAAAGTTGTGTGCTTAATTTTTAAGTTTGATGTACTTAATATCAAACTTAAATTAAGTTTGATATTAAGTACATCAAACTTAAAAATTAAGCACACAACTTTCATATATTAAGTGCATTAAACAAGCCATATAGGAATTTGTAATACTGCTAAAACGCCCACTAGGGGGCGTCCCTGGCTGCTAGTATAATATAAATGAAAGCATTTGGAGAGCTTTTATTTTGTTTCTTTTTCATTTACCATTGTCTTGCAGTTTCCAATTTTGAAGTTTTTTCTATGAATACTTACTGACATTTAATGTGATATGTACTGTACATAATAAACATCATTAGGAAATATAAAATATCTTTAATTAATTTTCAAGTAAGAAGACAATACTAAAAACAAATTTTCATTCAACATTTTTTAAGTCATAAAGCAATGAGTAAAACAAAAGTCAGTAACTTATTGCAAAATATAAAATAACAATTTCATGAAGTAGACTAAGTTTGAATTGCCTATTTTGTGAAATAGCAAAAAAACTGCTTAATTCACAAAATGAGCAACATTCCTGGAGTGAACATAACGTATACAAATATTTCAAATATAGAATATTTTATATTCTATAAAAAATTTTGAAAATTTATTGAATTTCTGTAGTCTGTAATTGAATTAGACTAACTTAGTTTCTTTTTTTCTTTTTTTTTTTTTACAAAGATCACATACATAATTCAAATTTCTAGAAAAGTAATTTTTGTCTTAATCTGTTCAATCATAAATTATCTTGTATTCTTCTTACTGATTTTATACTATTATCATTAATAAATCGAGCCAATTTTAATTTATTAATGTTTACATATGTATTAATACATGTAAAATCAACAACAATCAATTAAAACAAAAATAAATTATTTAATAGCCAAACAGTAATCAAATTCTAATTATTGATGGTACTCTCCTATTTCTGGTGTTTATAAATTAATTTCTATTTGACTTAAAATTAACCTAGTTAAAATTTTGATAATTTGGTGACTAGTCTAAATATATAAAATTACTTGTCCTGACTGACTGACTGAGTCACTGATTGATTCATCACCACCCATAGCAAACTGATGAACCTAAAGAGGTGAAATTAGGTACGTCATGAAAATGTACACTAAGAAAGGATTTTTCAAAATTCCCCCGTGGGGGGAGGGAGAGCATTAAGGCTTAACCAGAAGAATGGCTTCTACTGTACTATATTTTATATGTGATTTTNAATTGTTAATTTAATTTGAATGTTTTAAATATGACACACGATAGGGGCGCCTCTAGTGCCCGTTATCAAACGGTTACGGGACGGACGGAAGGAAGGACGGATACATGTTGAATGGGTTGTATATATAGATAATAAAATTAAAAATAGAACTAGTAAACGTACAGACATGGATAATAATATTAAAGACTTGAAGAAAAAATTCTTGTTAAATGGATATCCTAACAGACTACTTAAAACTTGGGAAAATAAAATAAATAATAACATAAATAAAGAAGAGAATCCTAAAACGAATAAAATAGACAATGAAAAGACTCCCAGAAAAAATGAAGAGAAAAATAAAATTAAATATATTCCATTTCCTTATATTAAAGGTTTATATGAAAAAATCAATAAAGAGATAAGACATACAAATGTAAAACTTGCCCCAAAGTATAGAAAATTTTTTGCTAGACTAAATAATAATAAATGCATGGATCAAAAGGAAAACAACAAGTGGAAGACATAAAAAACATTGTATACCAAATCCCATGTACATGCGAAAATAAAAAATATTACATAGGAGAAACTAAGAGGAAGATGAAGATTAGACTAAAAGAACACTTAGCAGATTTAAAACATCATAGAATTAACTCAGCCTTTCTTGAACATTGTACGTTAAATAACTGTAATATTGACCAAAATAATGTAAAGATCCTACATAAAGAAAAAGAAACTTATAGCAGAAAATTTAAAGAGAGTATAGAAAATTTTAAAAAATAAACATTGTATAAATAAAACTTAAGTTTAAAGATCAATGAGAATTGGCTAAAAATACTGTAAGAGATTTTTGAAAAAGAAAAATTTTCAAGAAAAAGGAGGATTTTTGAAAAATAGGAAAAATTTTTAAGGATTTTTTGAAGTGTTCTTTAGAGGAAATCTGAAAAATAGTTAAAGGTCTTACTTAGAATTTTTAAATAAGAATGCATTGTTATGCAAATCATCATACAAAGAAAATGCCATTAGATGCTAAGAGCTGAAAGAATAAAAATTAAAAAAGTGAAGTTTAGTTACTTAGGTAAAAATTATTAACAATAAATAAGGATAAAAAGATTGACAAAAGGCAAGTTTAATAATATAAAATGTATACGAATTAGTGCTGATATTAAAGAAGAACTGTGCTGCATGTCCATTAGAGGTTCTTCTCGATATTTCCGGAAACCTTCTGTGAATAAGTATGTAAGGATAAATTCAGTATATAGTTTAATATTTAAGTTTAATTAAAAACTGGGTTCTTCTGAAGATTTTTTAGAAGAAAAAATTTTTTTGGAAGAAAGCATTGTTATGCAAATCACCACAAAAGAATAACACCATTAATTAAACATTGTGAAGTTTAGTTGAGTTGTTTAGGTAAGAACTATTACTAACATTATATAAAGATAAAACGATTAAAACGAAGTTTTATAATATAAATTGTATACGAACTAGTGTTGATATAAAAGAACTGTGCTACATGTCCGTTATAGTCTTTTCTCGATATTTCAAAGAACCTTCTGTGACTAAGTATGTAGGAATAAAACTAGTATATAGTTTGACATCTAAATGTTAAGTGCAGT